ATAACTTTTAAAAAATATATTTAAGTGATGTCCTTAAAAATCAAATCTGTCATAGTAAATAAAAAAAAACACGTGCACGCATAAATTTGAAAAAAAGGACCACGATAAACTTCAAAATGCATATCGACTGCATCAAGCTCCGTGAGAAAGCATGTGCGAGGAATACAAAAGGGGACCTCGTATGCAGAAGGGGTAGCGGGATAATATTGGCAACGTAGCGTATCCGTATACGGCTAACGTACTATTATATATATATACTGAGCTCTATCGCATGCATTATATGTGACGCTGATTAGTGACATATATTCTCGTGCATCGTTTAGGATTATCTCACGCGTTCTTGTGGAGCATTTAAATATGATAAGTATGTATTTTAAGCTTATTTAAGCTAACATCGACGTGTGCCAGAATCCCCAACCGGAATAATCAATCGAGATAAACATCTCCCCTTTTTTCCCCTTATACAAGGTATCACATATAACTTACGACGTTAATTTTATAGTGATTTTCTCAACATAAAGTCAATTTTTCTTTTTAAATGTCAGAATTATTAATTTCAAGTTTCAAAGACAGTATTTGAATTAGATTAACAATATATAGATTCTTATTTTTATATTTTTATATTATCCTTTTTACATATTATTTTTATCAACCAATAATTCCGTATTACAAATAAGAAAAAGTAAAAAATGTTACAACTTAGATAAAACGTTAAACAAAGATTAAACATTTTCAATTTCTAAGACAATCTAATAAAATAAAATAAAAACGGAATAAAAAAGATTTAATTAAATTTAAAAATATCACACAAAGATAAATAAAAATATTATTCTTAAGTTTCCAAAAATTTTTCGAAAAAATAAAGCAGAGATATATTAAAGCAATAAAAATAAGGTGAAAATAAATATAAAAAAATAATAACCAATGATAATGATACTTTTTATGCGAAACTGCAACTCTAGTAGCTTAGTCAATCAAATATCACATCTCTGTTATCGTCGTCGAGTCCCAGTATAGCGCTTTAGATTCATCCGATATTCGCAGTGCTTCCACTGAATGCCGGCGCAATGGTATTAACTAATATATACGAGAGGCCGAGAATCATACAGTCGTTTAATTTGCACGCAGTCTCTACGCTGCGCTGCGTTGCGCTTTTGAGTGCGAAGCTGATCAGAAATTGAGTGGGAATTCAGAGACGGAATTAGTTCGACGGTCACATTCGAAACGGATTACTATGCTACTCGCGCTGCCTAACTGCAATACTCTCTTTGAGATTTAAAGGATATTCAAATCAATCGATCAAATTAACAAAATCTATGAATAATTTTTAAGATTTTTCGTTCGCATTTTATTGTAGTGACAAACTGATTTGTGTCTTCAAAATAATTTCAAGAAACCTTTATAAATCAAATTGGCTCTCTACACTTCTATTCTTATTTTCATTTTTTCTCTTTTCTTGCAAATTTTGTGTAATAATATTAAACATTTTATTTGATATGTTTGATAACAAAAATTAAGATTTGTTATTTATATATGTTACCAATAGTATTTTAATCTCTTGCTATCAATTAAGAAAGTTTTTTAAATTTTGTTATAATAAAATACCCTTTTATTATCAATATTTAAAAAACATAAAATTGGTTTAATTTTACTTTAACGAAATCGGTAACATACACAAATAATAACAAATCTCGAATTTTTGTTACAAAAAGTAGTTGTAGTCAAATAGTTTATTATTATTACATAAATATTTATACGATAAAAAGCAAAAATAAAAAATAAAATTATAAAGATCACATATAATATTTTCATTTCAATCATGGAAGACGTTTTGTCTTAAAAAATATGAAAAGACATACCAATTTTTGGAGGAAAAACTCCAAAATTTTCTTCAAAATAACTAAGAATATATTTTTGAAAGATATTTGTATTATTTAAAATGTATCAGCATATTTTCAGCTTGCTCGTTATACCGATACTATAATGTATCAATATCCATTATGCAGCGGCTATCATGGAAATCTGATCGCTATCATCATATATTTACATAGAAGACTTGAATTTAGTTTAGTAGGATTCCGTAATGAGATTATGTTCAATAATATGTTATAGTATCGAAAATTCATTATGATACATGTAATATTATTTAATAAAGCACAGAGAAAAGAGGAGCCTCCTCATTCCTCATTGAGGAGGCTCTTCAAGAATAAATTTCCCTCTTCTTATTATTATTCAAATGTGATTTGAATAATACGTGAGAACCAACCGATAATCCATACATAATGTTGTGTTGAAGATGTGTATGCATCCTGATATACCTGGAAAGAAACCGCGACAGATCGTTGCACCATATGCGAATTCTTTGCTCTTTCAATAGCAATGAATGCGATTATATTTACGTCGCGACACGCAAAGAATCATAGCATCCCGGTTTCTTTCACATCATACGTATTTAAGGTTAAAGCTTTACGGAGCGCCGCATGGGTTCTCTTTCATTATTTTTTAGTCGAAAATAAAATGAGAAAGAGTAGAACGCACCCTGCATCTAACCTTCCGGGAGTGTTGGAATTCTCGGCAGGAACGGAAGAAGCTCGGGCAAGACGATCTTTCCACGTTGAAACTTGGCCGGCTTGCCGCACCGAAAGGATGAGACTAATTCACGCTGACGAGATCTGACAAAGATATAATGCCGCTGCAGTCGCTTGATAACCCGTGGATTTTTAATGCTCAATTTTGAGGGCGCACGGAAGTTTATTTCCGACGGTATACATATTGCGGTTTTCTCGTGAAATATTTCCTATTATTCGCTCTATTAATATTTGTATAAAATAATCTATTAAATGACACACAAGAATTATTTTATTAGCATATTGTTCATGAGTTTTGTTAGAAAAATATATATTTGCAAAAAATAGTTTTTCAAACATTAATTTTATTAGCATTATTCTTTTTAAATAAAGTATTAATAATCAAAAATATCTCGCATGGGAAAAATATTTAAATAACTATATAATATTAAAAATGCAAACACACACACACAATATTTCTCTTAACTATTTTAGTACCAAGAAACACAATTGCACATCTCCCGTTTCATATTTAAAAATTGCCAACGTACGTTTTCTTTTATCTGATTATTTGATATTGGTTATTTAGTATTCCACAGAATAATTTAATTTATTTATTTCTACTAGAGATTGCGGTAGAAATCGAGAGCATCAATAGATTTATTATAATTTTCAGATTCTTGTGATCCTAGCAGGCAAATAATGACACAATAAAGTTTAACAAAAAGTTTAATAAAATAGAAAATAATAATATTTCAAAGAGAATAACATTTTGAATGTGACATGTCACTTTTATTACTTTCAATTGATGAGTCCTTGAAATATTCAACCACTATACAAGTTCAAAAACAAACGTGCCAAATGCAAAATATCACGAATTTCACGGATAATTCGTGGAAAATGTCATTCTCTAAAACTATATAACAAAAGCGATAGTCAAAAACAAGAGTGATAAAGGACTGAAATATTCATAGACAGCGCTCAGAATATTTGTTCGTTTCAATCGTAGGTAGATACTTTTTACATTTTTAGAACATCCTTTCTTCTTTCTGCTTTCAAAGACTTTTACGCTTCTTCGCTGTCAAATATACAAAAGTGTTCCGTATCAACCACGATATAAAAGATATATTTCTTTTCAATTGCGGATTCCTCGACCATTGTCGAGCCGATCTTTCCTTCACGAAAATGTCGTGAACGAGTTATTCTCCAAGTTATAAGAGAAAATGATAAGACTCCCCGAAGAAACCATTTTCTCTCGTAATAAAAATATGTAATTAAACTGTATTTTACAAACACTTTCGTAACGTCACTAAAATAGAATGTTATTCATTATTTTATTCCATATTCCAATATTCGTTTAATATCTTTGTTTACTTTGATACTATAAAAGATATATATATTAAAAAATAAATAATTGTAAGTAGGTATCAAAAAAGTAATATTGTAATAATATTATAATAACAACTATAGAAATTAAGATAATCAAAAGTAAAATAATCATTAAAATAACATCACATCGAATTTGTGACACATAAAAATTCATAATTGCAAAAAAATTAAACGACAGACAATTTCTGAACTTATATATATATATATATATATA